TAAAAAATTACTTCAAAATAACATGTTGTTTTTTTTTTTGTACCATTACATCAAATGGTCAACAAAAGTTACACACAACTTCCAAAAATAACCAAATGTTGCTAAGGTAGTATAAAATGGTGAACCCAAAAGCAGGCAATCACAAGGAGCTTCAAAAATAAAAGTTTTATTAAATAAAACAAAAAGCTGGCAAGGCAGCAGAATACTCACAAAACAACAATGAAGCACAGGGAGAAATGAACGACCAGGACAATGGTAAAAACCATTCAGTGAGCCAGTGACAAGGTGGAGTGGATCTGAAGGAGAGGAAATGAGTCACCTGGAGAAGGACACTGTTTTAGTTTTATAATTTTTCAGAGGCGTCAAACACAATAAGTTTTGATCTGTCTAAACTTCCCCCCAAAAACCTTTTGCCCACAAATGTTTTTATTTCTTCAAACTTTACCATTTTTTGTATCRCCTTGCTGCTGAAAAGTGCGAYATAAACAAATGTTACCCTACCCTTTTACATAAGTGAGGAAAGTTTGCCCATTTTTTGACTCAGTATTACTCAACTATACARCTTATGGTTTTCTCTCAAATYACACATCCAGTCATTCATTGACTTMTTTTGTACCTGAGAATCTTCAAAACTAAAAGCTAATGTTCTTATTATTTGGTCATATCTCCTACATAAAACACTGAAGATGCATAAAACATTGATGTGTGGAACGACCAGTTTARTTTGAGTTTTATTTCAATACAACGTTTTCTGTTTATTCTTGCAACCGTGAGCCACTGGCAACAGTTTTAACATTTGCTTTTACCTTTGTATCGTTAATATCCKATGCATAATAAAATAATTTTGTCATAGCTTAAAAATGACCAAAGTCACAAGTTACTTTTGGGTTTTACAGAATAAAATTGGATGTGTGTTGACATTTTGGGCATTAGCTGCATTGGCACCCTGTAAATTTTTCAGTTARGCTGGTAGTCGGGATCAAAAGCACAATTGGGGTTTAAATTCACGCTGAGTCGTTTAATGTTGCCGCCTTCTCCATAGATTATTCAGAGTGAAGGCAGCTACAGCTTCCTGCTGTGTGGAATGATAATCGCCTGCATCGGTTTTATCCTCTTCATTGGTCTCCTGCTGTTCCAGCGAATGCACAGAAATTACCTCACAGGTACCAAGCTGAATCCTTAAACACTGCATAGATGTGCTAAAAGCTTTTTTTTTTATATTAATTCTTTTCTACAAACCTCCTGACTTCCCAACAGGAACATCGAAGAAGTCAGCGATGGTGGAGGAACCAGCAGCCAAGCACAACGGGTCGGCCAAAACAGAACAAAGCAATGACACGACCATAACTCAGTAGTTTATTGTTTTCTGCTCTGTAAACTACAAACATTTATCAAATTAAGGATTATTGTTCTGCTTTATGTAGTCGGAGGGTTGGAAATGTACTGTATATAGAATCATTATTTATTGTTCTGCTATATGTAGTCGGAGGGTTGGAAATGTACTGTATATAGAATCATTATTATTATTACCAAAGACATTTGTGTATTTTGTTTTAGCTTGTTTTGATGCATGTATATTCTGTGTTGAGTTTTTCTGAAAAGGTCCTGTTGTATAAAAGTTTATTATTTTCTGAATTTTACCCAAGTTACCCTACAGCTTTAAATGCATCCATGTGAAGGGACAGACTTTGTACTTGGAAGTTAAAAGCCACAGAATCAAGYTCGAAAGTCAAACAATCATTCAACCTTTAAAAGGTTAACAGTGAATCTACACCTTCACATCAAAAACCAGTTGTAACTAACMAGAGCTGTTACTTTAACAAAATCATTTTATACATGGATTTCACAATCATTATTGAACATAAAGATGTTTCATACAGGCCTGTTTTTACAGTAAAAACGTGTTTTCTTTAAATAAAATTTGGTACCCAGGGATGTCATCACAGCAGTGGTCTGGTTTTGCTATAAAGCATCCCAAAGTTCAGGTCAGGAGGATTTCCAAACAAACAGAGGGAGAATCTTGAGAAAATTTATAAAAAGAAGTGCTTATAAATGGATAAAAACATGAGYTAATGAGGCTCTGTCTGAAGACTTCATAGTCAGGGGTCATGAGTCTATCACACTTATACCATGCTGAACGAAAGCTGAAAAGTTTAAGAAGCAATTCAGTTCAATTCAATTTATTTATAWATTGTAGCACTGAGTCACAACAAACACACATTATAAAAAATAGTTAGCAAAAGTTATCAGTGTAAGGAAGCCAGCAAATAGCATTGAATCTTCACTTCATCATAGTCTCTCACCCTGAACAGCACACTGGCCACAGCGGAGAGGAAAAACTCCCTTTCAACAGGAAGAAACCTCCGGCAGAACCAAGCTCAGGACGAACGGCCATCTGCCTCGACCGGCTGGGTTTGAGAGGACAGGAAATAAACACAGCCAATGTTTCCTTCCAATTGCCTATATGCCACGGACATCCGGCCCAGCACTGGATGCCACTCCCAACACTTACGGTTCATGGTCAACACAGTGTTAGCGAAAGATTTTTTCACCCAACAACGACTCTTGATCTCCACAGTACAGAATTAGCATATTGCATGTACCAACATAAACACAGGAGGCGTACAGGTCCAGCCAAGTGAAAAAAAAACACTCCAAAGTGAATTAAAGCCATAAAAACAAAGGAAAGATGTTCCTGTTTATGGTTCCAGAATTTAGCCTTTTTTGCTATTCCATGGCTGCTTGTTCTGTGAAATTTTCACGTAGAGCTGTGACACGTATATTGTTGGAAAGAGCAGAGTCTGGGCTTTAAATTGATGGGCTACTTGTTTGGTTTGGATTGTTTTCCCCGACGTTAGTGAACTGAAAACGTAATGATCATCAGGCGGAGGTTCTGCTGCTCTCGGTGCTCGGGGGTAGTGGGTGCACTCGTCACTCGGCTTTAGTCTACGCTGTAATATACACTCTAACAAGGTTTTACTTTTGCATAAAACTCATGACAAAGTTGCATAAAAACTTTCATATAACACAAACGCACACACACACCTACCTTTGTACTGGCTGATGTGTTAGCGTCCTGCTAGCTGTCGTGTGGAGGTGGTCTTTCCTCTCTCGGGTCTTGGCAGCAAAAGGGGATAAATGTACATTTCCCTTTTGTAACCTCCGTCTTCTCATTTCTGATGCTGGCTCTTGAATATCCTCAGGTTAGAAATGCCGATTACAAAYGCAAGCGTGAACTTTTAAAGATAAATTTTCCCTGCATTGCTATTCACTGCTGTCACCTCCTCCTCAAGAGGAAAATGGAGAAAAACCAACTACTCGATTGTACCTGCTGCTTAGTGGACACAAC